GGATTGTTTGATAAGGCAGTCAAGTCAGGATTGAAGCTTTTAAAATGGGCTAATTGTTATTTGATAACTGCAGTGATTAAACTGCCAACAACCAAATATTATTGTTAAAAAGAAATCATCAAGAAATGATGATTCTCTGTACAGTTTTAACCAGTATTTGTCTGGTATTTTGCATCCATTTCAAAGATTTTTCTTTTCAGTATATCTAAACAAACATTTGTTCAAGAGACAACCCCAGTGTGTATAAGAGAAGGCTCATTCTTAATAAAAAGAAAATTTAAAAAAAGATGAACGCTCTTTCCAGCCCCCTAGTGGCCAAAGGAATTCACTTTGGTGCCTCTTGGTCTATGGAAGCAAATCATTACCATAGTGCACATGTGCACGTCTGCATTGAATTGCATTACATTGTAATTGTACGTGCGGGAAACTGGTTGAATTGGATTCTACCTGCTCAGCTAATTCTAAAAATGTTTGTACAATTTGAGGGAGTGCCATGACCTGTGATGCTAAAGCACACAGATCATGGCTGTGTGCTTTAGCATGCATTGCAGTGTAATGAAAGGCAGACGTGCACAGCTTCCCCTACCGAACAAGATGGGTAGCCCGGTCAGCAAGGACCTGAGGAAGAGCGCCTGCTGACGTCATTTTGCTGCGCCCGCCGCTCAGAATGCTTTTTTATTTTTCGATTTATGGACAGTACTTTGCTGGCAGACCATGAAAACAAACAAGCAATGTCCGCTGTTTTTTCTCTTTGATTATGGCATAAAATGTGCAGTCTTAAAGAAGAAAATGCAAATAGGATGATTGATTACTAATTTCATTTATGAGTCAAATAATGCAGCCATATTCTTAAAATGAAATAGCATTTCTGGAAATGCTTTTTTATTTTCAAATTTTACATTTCAAATTGAATTTTGGTATGTATTTGATGGGGTACGTTTTGAAAAATAAATCTCAAATGTCTTTTTCTTTTTAGGTAAGTAAAAGGCTGAGCAGTGTTGAAGAAGAAAATTAAAATGCAAATAGGATGATTGATTACTAAAGTTATTTATGAGTCAAATAACGCAGCCACATTCTTAAAACAAAAAAACATTTTTGAAAATGCTTTTTCATTTAAAATATGGTAACGATTTGCTTGCATACTTGGTCAGGACTCTCTTGAAAGATAATTTAATCTCAACGGGATTTTTTTTCCTGGTTAAATAAAGGTTGAATTAAAAAAATATTTATTTAAATTCTGCATAGCTCACATATACATGTGTTTAGCTCATGATCCAAGAAAAAAAAAAAATAATTAAGAAATTCACAGATAGATTTGTAGGCAGCAGTGATTTGGAAAAGGGAACATATGTAAACAGCATATCATACATGGAGCCCATTAGCTGTGGCTT